AATCTACTTATGGAAGGTAAATATGCTCCATCAAAACTCCATTGATACAAAGATAAATCTACAGACATGTCCTAGACAACAAGTGTTGCCAAAGTATGTCCTAACTAAAAGGTAAATGGCTCGATAGTATTAATAACATGGGGGCCAAGGTATGGTTATTTTTCAACAGAAAATAAAGATACTGTGGCCAGCATCCCAGAATGTACAACCATGAACCGAGATGATGGATTCACTGCAAGCAGCTGCATATCTGAAATAATCAAATAATATTGTAAAGAAACATAGGATGAATTATCAGTATGAGTGGAAATAAAAATAAGGCTCTACACAGTCAGAGGAGATAGGTAGAAAGGTAGAAAATGAAATGGTTCCACAGAGTTAAGAGGAGAGGAAAATATTCTTGAGAGCTCTTCTGGTTTGAAATGAATTTTAGGATTGTTTTCTCTAATTCTATGAGATATGCTGTTGTAATTTTGATTGGGATTGCATTAAGTGTGTATAACAATTTCAGAAGTATGGCCATTTTCAATGTGTTGGTTCTTCTTACCCAAGAACAAGGGGTATCTTTCCATTTTCTGATATTCTTTCAATCTCCTTTTTCAGAGTACTGTAGTTTTCAATGTAGAGGTCTTTTACTTCCCTTGTTAGATTGATTCCTAGGTATTTCTTTTTTTTTTTTTTTTTGGATTCAGCCAATGAATTTAAAATCAGCGGCTTCTCCTGTGTTGAGGATAAAAGGGGAAACTCTCCTTTGTCCTGAACACCTACTACTTCATGCTTGTACCCTTCTGCAGAAGTAAAAGCAAAATACCTTGTCAATATCTCTTGCCTGTTGTCTGAGTGCATTCTTTCCAGCACTGACAACTGAGTCTGTGGGCTTATTTCCAACAACAGGCAGCAGGCTCCAAGGCAGAAAAAGTATAGTGGAAGGGCATGGAGGAGGAAAGCTACTCACCTCATGACAGCCAGGAAGCAGAGAATGAAAGGAGGAGTCTGGGAAAAGAATATTACATTCCAGATGACATTGGTAGTGACTCCACCTCCTTCAAGCAGGGCCCCTTTAGTAATATCACACTCAGCTATGAACTGATTCATGTATCAATCCTGTATCATTATGTATCGATCATGATGTAGACAGCACACCTACAATCCAATCACCTTCCCAAAGCCCCACCTCTGAACACATGAAGCTGGAGGAACATTTTAGATCTAAGCCATAAAAATAATTTTAAAAGCCTTGATAATGGCTAGGGGAATTTTGTTGCTAAAATAACACCAAAGATGAGAAAAAGAATGCAGCATTTCCAACCATCAAAATGATAAAATGATATGATGATAAATGATAAAATGATAAAAGTGAGCTACCATAGAAGCAATTGGAATATTTGTAAAAAATAATACAGGTTGGCATATTGCAGTGATGTGAAACTTACAAAAAGTACAAAAAACCAGAATATTTAGTATCCTGTGTATTTTTCCAATGTGTTGTCAATTATGCTGTAAGTTCAAATCTATTTTTCCTGCCAATCTTGCTGATACCTTTTCTGAATTTACTAGCTCAAAAGTATAAATATACATCACTTTGTATTAGGTCATCTGCCTAAAAGGTGACCAGGCCTATCTCTTCTGCAAAATAAATATGTGCTGTTAAAAAAATACATATTACTTTCCTTGACTACTGAGTTGGTGTGAGCCATTTTTCTACTATATAACTTTTGCTCCTGAGGCAAGTGTCTCAATTGCCTCATCCTCGTCTCCACCCTGTAAAAATCCCCACTCTCCTGGAGGGAGCCTTCATTGAAAGAGCTATTTGAGCCAGAATTAAAGGGTATTAAAGGGGTTAGCTGAAGGGATTTCAAGGAGGAGGAGGAGAAAATTCTTGGCCATGTACAATATATGCCTGAAGCACTTAAGGAAAAAGGCCCCCTATGAGTGAGAAGAGTTTAAAGAAGTAACGAGGAGACCGGATCACAGAGAGTTTGAACTAGTGTCTTTGTCCTAGCTAGCTCATAGCTCTGGGGTGGGGCCTGAGATCCCATATTTCTAACCCATTTCCAGGTAATGCTGATATACTAATTCTCAGTGAGTTAACAAAGCCAATCCTTGACGACTGTAAGGACTTAGACCCTCATTTTGAATGAAACAGAAGCCTAGGCAGGGTCTGAGGAGTGATGGAGTCTGGCTTAGATTCAGCAAGGATCGCCTCATTGCTGGGCTGGGTACAAGCTGTGGATGGCAGCCATAAGAGAAGCAGGGCCAATGCAGCAACACAGAGAGGACATGGGAATGAGGAGTAGGGGAAGAAGGGAACTGATTCTGGAAATGTTCTTAAGGCAGAACCTGTATAATTTCTTCACAGAATAGATACAACTTGTGAGCACAGAAGAGAGTCAAGGATGACTCCGAGGTATTCTGACTCGAGCATCTGAAGGGATAGAATTCTCATCCACCAACCTCAAGATAATGACAAATAACACCAGAAAGGGAAGGCTGGCAAAGGTCAGAAATTCAAATTTGATTTATAGTGTCAATTACTCAGCAAGTGGAAACATCAGGCAGGCATGTGACTCTCCAAGTTCAGAGTTCAGAAGAGAGATCTTGGCTGGAGTCCCTAGCACATCAATTCACACCACTGCTGTTTGGCTTGTGTCAAGAATCCCCTCAAAGCCTCATGCCTTGGCAGGTGGAGCTTTTCAGAGGTGGCTGAATCTAGGGTATGTGACACTGGGATCAAGGATGTATGATTACTAAATTAGTTCAATGATTAGTTTGGTATAGTTCTGGGTGTGGATAATGGGAAGGCCCACCCCGGACAGATAGCCTGGAAAGCATAAAAGGGAAGGCAGGCTGCTTCGCTGCTTGCTGCTTGTCTGCTGCTGTCTCCTGCCTGCTTTGCAATGGCCCTCTGCCATGCCACCCTGCCTTGGAGCCAGCTGATTATAGACTGAAACCTCTACAAACTGTGAGCCAAAATAAACCTTTCCTCCTTTAACTTTGGGTGTGGGATATTTTGTCTCAGCAATGAGAAAAGTAAGACAACTGCCAATCAGCCACTTATGTGAGCTTAGTTAGTACCAAGCCATGATAACACCTGGAAACTTAACCACAGCAAATGTAAGCCTTGCCCATAAATAAACCCAAGTAACATCACATAAGCAAAGGTATTCTCTTTTTTTTCCTTCTCAATTCTCATATCAGATTCTTCCAAATAATTTAAATTCTGGATGTTTAAAACCTTCTATAGATGTACTCACTGCGAGTTTATTCTCTTTCATTTAACCCTTTCTCTAAATGCTATATAGACCATGATACTAGATTAATTCAGAGAAAGATGAGAGGAATTTAAAAGTTTTCCATCGCCTTTTAGCCAACACAGGTGATAGAGTAAGAATCCCAATGAAGAGTGTAGCCATGCCCTGCCAAGACCCAGCTGATGACAGTCCAGATTCAACTAATTACCAGAAGTCATCAAGTTCAGTTCAGTAAAAATATCTTGACCAACTGCTACACACACAAAACTATTTCAGGTATTAAAGATAAAAACTTCTCTTCGTACCATCTCCTTGAAATCAGCTAAAACCCAGTAAGAGGAGGGAAACCCAACCAAAGTCCTGGAGCTAGGAGTAAGAAACTTGGCTAGGGTGAAGACAGCAAGAAAATTTATCCTTTCAAGAAGACAACAGAGGAGACTCAGGAACGAGAAGAGGAAAAAGGAGACTAGCAAATCATAAACATGGCCTTTGTAGGACTGGACTGATTACTGAGGTCTGATTGAGCAATCCAAATTTAGGAACGGACCTTGTAGACAGCTATCCAACCCAGCAGTTCCTAACGCTTGCTACACATCAGGATCACCTGGGAAGCTTGAACAATTACTGACACCTGGCCCTACTCCCAGACTTTCTGATTTAATTGGCTTGAGGCCTGGCCTGGTCTTGACAGAAACTTTCCCCAGAGGTCTGAATTTTTAGCAAAGTTTGAAAACTACTACCCCAGTTCTAGGGAACTGGATCGTTTGGTACACTATTCTTCATTGATGGTCTGTGAATGATGAGCTTCAGGTTAGAAATGGAGAATCTTGGGCTCCATTCCAGGCTGACTCAGTCTCCCTTTAATGAAATTCTCAGGTGGTCCATATGTGCATTAATGTGCCCATGGCTTTGGTTTAGACAGTGGTTCTCTGATTTAAAAGAGTGTGTCAGCTTTATGTTACTCTGAAAAAATACCTTTAAAGGAGGATGGATTGATTTTGGCTCGTTTTAGAGGTTTCAGTCCAAGGTTACCAACTATCACTGGTGAGCCTGTCATGAGGTAGTTCATCATCACAGGAGCCAAGGAAGCTGCTCAGCTCATATAAGATAGGAAGGGGTTGGGTCCTCCATCTCTCCCCTAGGAGGGCCCATCCTGAATGACCTGACTTTCTTCCACTAGGCTCCACTGCCTCTGCACAGCACAAGCTGAGGACACCAAGCCTTTAGTGACAAGCCTTAGAATGGGGGGACATTTTAGATCCTAAAGATAGCAAAGGGGAAAGGAACTTTAAGACAAATATTCCTAACACTGTCCATCACATTTTCCCATTATCTGACATAAGCGAAACTCAATTCTTAACTGTTGGTCTCTGAAGGAATCTGGAAAATGAAAAATACCCATTTCCAAAGTACAAACTTGTCCCATTCTGAATGGGAAGTTTAAAACCTACAACAAAGTACAAGAACCTCGTCAGTTCAAGCTGGTTTCTCTTTCTTTCCATTATTTTGGAAGGAAGAGGGGAAGGGAGGGAGGAAGAGAGGAATGATCTGACAAGGTCCCACCTGTTGAATACCAGGTGTCATTATCAGCTCATTTTAGAAAGTCTAAATGTGGTCACTTTCCTTATACATACTTTCCTATGACAATGCTGGCTTCTACAGGCTCTTTAAGCAGCCAGTGCTGACTCACATAATTCCACGAGCCATGGAGATACATAAAAGATTCAAATGCTAAAGAAAGACTAGTACCTCATCTAGGAAAGCAGTTACATGTCCAAGAGATGACGCAGGTAACTCTTCAAAGAACACCTTTTGAGAGAAAGTATTTGCTTCACTGTTTTCAGTAATCTTCTTGGCAATATAAACAAGTTTATGTTTTGCATCTCTTGGAATCTGAAACAAGAACAAGATAATTAGTTCAAGTTCACTATATGGTTTCCTTAATAAGCAAGCTTTGCTGAATACACCTTGTAGAAGGATTGCTAACAGAAGAAACAGAACCTGGCGTCATGCCCACCTTTACAAACAAGGTGGTTCTCTTGCTTGTCGCTATTCTGCAGTGTATACAACTGCCTTTGTGTTTTTATAATACTAATTTCACAGCATTGTCAGTGCTGAAACATCACCCTGAAAGGCTTGCCAACTACGCAAGGCCATGATATATCCTAAGAATCTCACAGTTAAAAACAAATGACCATGTAGAATGTTTCAATCTTTAAAAATGTTTAAATATTCTCTTGTTTGAAAATAAGTCAAACTGACAGAAAAATGGGGCGCTAGAGGATAATTTAGATTTTCATCTTGGAGACAAAGAATAGAAGGATTTAATGAAGATATTCTAATATTTCCACAACTATTGAATCATTTCTGTACATACAATTCTGATAATAAAGTGTTCTGTTATATGGCAAATTTTAAAAAATGTTACAATTAGTGGTGCCAAAGCAAAGATTTTCAAAACTGACAAAACCCAGGCAACCTTCCTGTCACTCCTTGTTCTGAGATCCTACTTCCCAACTATAATGGCCACATACTGGAGGATATGCTACATTAACCTGAGGGGCAGCTCTCCTAAAGATCCAAAATCTTTCTCCAAAGTCTTCACACATGAAAAATGCAAAATACAAATGCTGTCCTTGCAGCTGGTATGATAACCTTTCAATAGACAAGCAATCTAAATTCAAAAAAAAAAAGGAAAGGCAGAAAAGAGGGGATGAAAGATGCAGAAAAGCTGAGCCGCCCCCCCCCCCCCCGCAACTGGTGGCAAACACCAAGTGTGGTACCTGGCTACTCCTGCTTAAGGACCCAAAATTTCTCTTCCGGATGGTTGACAGGTGGGCAGACTGAATACATAAGACTGAATACGTAAGTTATGTGGACTCTGTCAAAAACCAATTTTGCTTTTTAAAGGAAAGGACTCTTAAACCTGATGTGATGGTCCATGCCTGTAATTCCAGCACTGAGAAGCTGAGGCAGGAGGGTCCCAAGTTCAAGCCCAGCCTAGGGAACTTACCGAGACACTGTCTCAAAATTTAAAACAGTTCTGGGGATGTTGCTGAGTGAGAAGTCCCTGGGTTCAACCTCCAGTACTAGGGGGACAAGGGAAGATGTGACTCCTGAATGGCCCGAGAGCGGCTGAAATGGAAGTTACCTTGCACCTAACGCCCAGGCTGCGGAAGGAAGCACTGTTTTCCCTTCACTCTCCTGGTCCCACAAGCTCACGGGTGAGTCTCAGGTCTTAAAGAGGAAGACTTTGTAGAAAACTAACCCACAGCTGTGACTGCAAAGTGGGTACACGTGAGAGGGGAGCGCTTCACGGGATCCTGGCTGCCGCAAGCTGAGTACTCGCGCCCCAGAGGGCTGGGAACCCCTCGCTCCTTACCTCCCGGGAGGCCGCGAGCCGCCCCTCGCCGGCGACGCTGAACACCAGGCAGGCGGGGCCGCAGCGCTCCAGAAACTCGCTCAGGACCCGCCGGTTGTCCTCGCTTTCCAAGTAGTGGCTCCACGTCTCCTCCCGGAGCCCCAGCAGCTGTTGCAGGCGGCCGCCGAGGAAGCGCACCCGCGCGTCTCGGGCGAAGCTCCGCGCCCTGCGCGCCGCCGCCGCCGCCTCGTCCTCCTCCTCGGCCTCGGCCTCCTCCAGGCTGGCCCCCGGGCTTAGGCGCGGAGTGGGGGCATCCCGGGAGCCTCGCATCTCCGAGGTTGCCATCCTCGGGGCTGCCAGCGGGTACGTCCGAGGCGACGCGGGCTGATCTGGTCCTTGCTCCTGCCCTGAGTGGCGAGGACACTGGGGTCGCGCTCCCCTGGCGCCCACTCTCTCCTGGACGCCAACCCTCGCCCCACCGGCTGCTACCGAGCTTTTGCGCGCTGGACAAGCGGCGCGTCCGTCCGTTTCCCCGGGGACGCGTCCCCGCCCCACCCCGGCGGCTGGGCGGAGTGAGGGGCGCGGCTGCCCTGTCCGCCTGCGCCAGTCTATGGGTTCACCCCGCCGTTCATCTCTGTGAGGCTCCCAGTGATGCCCCAGTCCTGGCAGGCTCTGGATGAACCCTTGCATGGAGCTCTATGTTAAATCCTTTACCTGGAGGAGTCCATGTAATCCCTAGAAAGCCAAGGCTCTGACTGGTCAGTCTTTAATTTGCAGGCAAGGGGTGGAGCCACAAAGTAAAGTAACAAGAAAATGGTGGAACTTACTGAGGGAGTCGAGGTCTCCGTCTTCCTATAGCTACTTCCTGCTGAAAGGGACTGTAGGCCCTACCTATTAGGGGTTAGGTACTCTCTAACTACTTTAGGATGATGTGGCTCACCTCAGCAGAGTGGCTGAGGAAAACCTGTCAAAGGACAATGAGAAAGGTGTTGGTGTATGTGAAGGACAGTTGAGCTGCCTGTTTACTGGAAGAAAGCTTGATGAACCTGTCTGGAGCCTGAGAGGCAAAAAGGGATAGTGGATAGGCTACCAGTGCCCATTTATAGTGACTCTATTTATCTGTACTCAAAACAGTTGCAGTCTTGCTTTTTGAAGAGGAGCTTCAGGTCTTTCTGAATTCACAGAAGTCTTAATCCTGTGAAAATCTCAGTGACTATTTCCTATGTAGGGTTTTTATAGCTTGTCACTTTGTCCCTTGAGGAAGGACCGGAATGGTTCTTCAAGAACTAGGAATAAGGTTAGGGTCTTGAGGGGCTGCAGAACTGCCCTTCTTGCCTCCCAATCAAAGTTTTGCTTTCCTAAAGAGACTTTAGACATGTTTCTTTGGTGTTCCTTGCAATGAAAGACAGTGACCTCCCTGGGAGTTGTAGTTAGCAAGTCTCTTTTTTTCCAGATTGTTGTGTGGGCATATAGCACCAAAAAGACATATTTAGAACATATGACTTTCAAACTGACCTATCAGGATAGGTGTAAAGAAGCTCTGACTAGGGGTCACCTCAACCTCAATTATGGCTATAGATCTAGAGGAGGGTTTTCTGGAGAAGGAAATAAAAACAAAGTAATTAAATTTGCTTACTAAAAATGTCCAGGGTCACCTGCCGTTTCTAGATGTCTATGGACAGGGCCATTGCCCCAGGCCCCTTCAATCCTCTTTTTTTTTCTTTTTTAGTACCAGGGATCAAACTTGGGTCCTTACTCTTGTGAGGCAGGTGGCAGAACCACTGAGCTAAATCCCGATGCTTCAGTCCTCTTTTTCAGAGTGAGAAATGAGGGTTTTGGCTCTGGGAATGGGGACAGTTGATCCTCCAGTGTCATGATTCAGGCACATCAGCTGCCTGCCACATGGAGCAGGGCCCAGGCAATGGCTTGGTGCAGTCATGTGCCCAGTGTTGTTTTCTTGCATTCAAAGCAGGCCTTGATTGGCCCTGAGTTTTCCCTTGGATGACTTAGGTGTGTTTAAAGGGTTGTTGATTGTGACAGCTATAATTTTGACTTGTCTTCTTTCACTCTCATCTGGATCCTGATGGTTGAACACAGAAAAGGCCATGTCCAGCAATTGAGTCAGAGGCACCTGAGGACCCATCTGAAGTTTTTGTAATTTGTGCCAAGTATCTGGGGCTGATTGACAAATGAACTTGTGTCCTATCAGTGCCTATCCCTCCCTGAAAGATGGATCTAAATTTGTATATTTACAAAAGGTTTCTACTAATTGGCTATGAAAGACACCTGGATTTTCCTCTTTACCCTATATGACCCCTCTCACCTTATCATAATTAACAGATTTCTTAATGTATCATTTTTAGTCCATAGCTAGTATTATAGTCCCAATTTGATTCTGTTGGAGGGATAACAACTTCTCTGGGTTGGTTTCCTTATCTTCGTACATTGTTTATCTACATAGCTCTCAGCCTCTTCTACTTTTTATTGGGGTACAGATAAAAAGTAGAAGTACCTTTCTGCTTTTTATCTGGGGTACAGCAAGTGACCAAGATGAATTGAACATCTTGCCACGATAGGTCAAAAGCAAGCGTCAAAGTTTGAAACCCATCTGCAAACCTACTAGGATCTTCTGAAAGTCGCCCGAGCTGTTCTTTGCATTGTTGGGTATCTGCCACTGAAAATGGTACTGGGACTCGAGTAGTCCCTTCTACTCCTGGGACCTTTCTCAGGGACAAGACAAGTTGAGTTAGAGGAGTAGGAAGCTCCACTCCGGGTAGGTCCTACAAGGCTTAAAACTGTCTGAGGAGCATGATGAGGGGGCTGGGGAATACTGGGTTCCTCTGGGGCACTAGGCTCTGGTGGAGTTCCTGAATAATTCCTGAAGGGAATTACTGGCCTGAGGATTATAAGGAGGAGGTTGAGGAGAGGTGAGGTTTGCTCTGCAGCAATAGTTTGGAAATAGTAAATGTTATACCACACCACAGTAGAGTTTTAAGAAGTAATTCAGCTTAAGTATATGAAAAAACAATTATTTAGGCCAAATGCTTGGAACTTCATATGCATTATAAGAGATTTATTATTAGTTTGAAAAGGAGAATGCTATAGTTTATATGTAGCTGTTCCCCCAAAGCCTCATGCACTCATAGGTGGGGGTTCGGGAGGTGATTGGATGATGGGTGTGTAATATTCATCAGTGGATTAGGTCACTAATGAGTTTATAGCTAAATGTGATGTTGGGAGGTGAAGCCTGGTCAGAGGAGGTGTGGCCTGGAAGAATATATCTCCCTTTCTCCTCCCTTAATCATTCTCTGCTTCCCACTACCATTCCATGAGCTCTTTCTCCTCTGCATGCCCCTCTGCCATGCTGCCCTGCCTTGGAGCCAGCTAACTATGGACTGAAACCTCTTCAAACTGTGAGCCAAAATAAACTTATCCTCTTACAGTTGCAGGTGTCAGTATTATATTTCAGTGATTAGAAAAGAAACTAAGAGAGATATGAGAAATTAAGCAAAGACACAGCATGTTTATTCTATCAGATAGTGATAAATTCTAAGAATAAAAGTAAATGACAGCGAGCCAGGCATGGTGGTACACACCTGTGATCCCAGCACTTTGGGGGCTGAAAAGGGAGGATGACAAGTTCCAGCCCAGTTGGGCAATTTAGCAACTCAGCGATACCTTTGAAGGATAGTAAAGGATTGAGGGTATGAGAGTGAGCCATGGATTCTGGAAGATGGATGTTCCAGGAGGAAGAAAAAGCAAGTAGACTTCCAAAGGGGATGCTTGGTTTTGGGTGAAACAGGAAGGCCAGTGACAGGGTTGATATTAGAACAGTAGGATGAAGGAGAAACATGGGGGCAGGGGGTTCATGAGGGGCTGTGGTAATGGCAGGGATTTTATTAAAGTGAGGACGTGGCAGAAACTGCTACTGTCTCCAGGATCCACTCACCCTTAATCCTCTTAGTAATAGAGCACTCAGCCCATCCCAAGTTTTAATGGGATCCATGGTCACTCACACTAGAAATTTCATTTCCTCTTTTCCTGTGTAACTAATAGATGAAATATATAACATGTGTGTCATGTTCTTAGAAAAGATTTGTCTGAATTCAGCTCTTCTTGTCTTTCCAACTTGCTGGCAAGAATATGAGTATGGAATGCTGAGCCATGTTCAGTTATGTAAATAATCCTCAAATGTATGGAAAGATGCTCACCCTCCCTCCCAAAGGAAAAATGCAAATTTAAACTAGAGCACAATACTATTTTTTTAAATTATTAGCTTTATAACTGACAGCCTGAGGGCCAGGGATTTAGCTCAGTGGTTCAGCTGCCTGCCTTGCAAGTGCAAGGTCCTGAGTTCGATCCCTGGTACAAAAACAAAACTGACAGCCTGTCCTTGGCATGGCAGGTGAAATAGGCATTCTCATGTATCACTGCTGGAGATTGAAAGGATACAATATCACAGAGCTTTTTTAAAAAATATATCTTCAATATATTTTATTTATAAATAATGTACTTGTGCATTGAAAATGTCATGCACATAATAACATTCCCCAAAATAGAAATTTTTAAATTAATTTTATTGCTACATTTTAGGTATACAATATAATGACATTCATCATTGGAAATCTGCACCTTTACATAATATCTCTTGGTTCTTATTTTTCCCCATTCCCCTGCCCTCCCTTCAACCCCTCCATCCTTCCCTATTTATAAAGATTTTGTTTCCAAAATTATGACAAAAGAAAAAATATGGAAATGAAACCTATGTAAATGGGAAGGATGGAGGGGTGAAGGGCACACAGGTAATGGGGAAAAAAATAAGAACCAAGATACATCATATACAGGTACAAGCACCCAGTGATAAATGTAAACGTATTGTATACCTAAAATGTACCAATAAAAGAATTAAGAAAAAAGATTTTGTTTCCATTTTTCATTTTCTCATATTAATTCCATTCCCTTCTTTCCTTTCCCCTACCCCTCCCACTTCCCCTTCCCCTTTGCCCCTT